CTAAATATATGACTTCTTGAGGCCCTGAATAAGATTTTTTTAACAGTGAATAATTTGGGACCGGTATTCGGAAGAGTGCCGACTTATCGACACTGGTGAGTGATGTGGTTAGCACCACGCCGCTCGTCTTTGCTTCCTAGGACTGTAGCTTGTACTCACTCAAGGCTGGTAGTCAAAGTCATTTAAACAAATAAAATAAAAGTCCGGCTCCCGCAGGACCTGAAACCACGACCTCCCGGCCCTCAGCCGAGCGTCTAGCTGCTACACCACGGCGACTGCCGCTTAGGCTTATGGTAGGGCTATTCAACTGACGGGTCGCTGGCCGACTCCGGCCCACAGACGCCTAGCAGATGGTCCGCGGATCATTGTCACTAGTATTACCTTAAAGATCGTTTATGCTGGGGCTTGTGTCTGAATTAAAGACGGGTGGAACATGTCGAGGCCGACCTTAGCTACGATATAAAGAGGTGTACAAGCGAGACATGAATGATACAGGTATTGAGGTGTACTCGTGGGAACAAAATACCATGGACCGTGTTGTGTGGAGGGAGCACATCAGGAGGGGATTTAGAATGAAGGAAGAAATTATTGCAGAAAGGATAAAGAGCTGAGCGTCTGAGAAAAAATAAGACTAAACACAAATGTTGACAATAGTGGTCCTGAATTCCCATGCTATAATAGTCTTGCTAGTCACACCTGCCATCACCATAGGCCTTCTTCTTCTTCTTCTTCTTCTTCTTCTTCTTCTTCTTCTTCTTCTTCTTCTTCTTCTTCTTCTTCTTCTTCTTCTTCTTCTTCTTCTTCTATATCTATAACATGCATTTTAGATAACAGGCATTGGTACTCTGAAAAAAAGAGTGCTTCCGGTAGACGACTTCGTCACCGGTCCGGACAGTATTTGGATCTGTCTGCTTTGATAGCACTAACACTGCAGGAGGTGTTTTCAGGGCTTTTAGTGGCGTCCAGTGCTAAGCCATTATATACGGCGCACATAACCTAGTCACATTTGTAACCTAAAGCTTTCCCCTTCAGGGATGCTGGTTAAAAGTGACCATTTTTTTCCCGAACAAACAAAGGAACGGAATTGTCCTTCTAGAGACCTTCAAGGGGGATTGTATCACATAATATATGTGCATTCTTTATTATTTCTTTCCTTTTTCTTCTTAAAGTCCATGCTGTGTGACGTTGATTGTCATGTCTATCCAAAACCGTCTATCTTATGTGCTTTTAGTCACCTCCGACACAGATGATCCTCCATGCCATGATGCCAAACTGTCCAGCATCTGTTCTCTCGGTCTCCCTCTGCCTCTCCTCCTCTAAAGCTTTCCTACTGTCACGATGTACTCTGTTTTTAAACAGACTGGACGATATTTTGAAGTCTGAGATGTTGTTTTACAGAAGAATCTTTAAAATTCATTCGACAGCTAAAAAGAGCAACCCAGATGTTTTGAGCGAGGCGAGGGCTCAAAGACAATATATCACAAACATCAGAAAGAGACAGTCATAATTTTTTGGGGTCATGTTAGGGGGAAAGGGAAACTCGAACCTGTTGTGACCACAGGAAAGATATCTGGAAAGAGGGACAGAGGAAGACAGTGAAAGGAGATTCTTGACAACCTTTTGTCACGGCATAGAGAGGTATTAACATACGAACTGATACATGCAGTTGCTGATCGCAGATTGTGGAGAGGCATGATCGGCCACGCCTTCGACAAGGCACTTGATGACGATGATGATGACTGTTAACAATAACTTGGGATAAAAACACGCACAAAATTCAAAATAGTAGTAAATTTTACCCAACCAGGACATCACACAGAGCGATTAACACGCGATGACACAAAGTGCCACCGTGTGGATGAGGATCACCTGTGGAGAGGTGCCGGAAACCGCGTTCAAACGTCAGGCTATATTGCGGGCCCCGGCAACAGCCAGGATGGGGCTTCAAAATAAGGAAAAAATGCATCCCACAAAGTGATGACGGAGATAACTTTAATTCAAAGTGCCAAATAAAACAAAACAACCACCAGCAACTGTTAATTTGGGAGTCGCCGTGGCTGGATCGGAAGGTCGTGGGTTCGCTCCCTGGTGGACGGACTTTTTTCAAAATTGACCTTGGCTCCCAGGACGACCCAGCCTTGAGTGGGTACCGGGTGCAGTCCCGGAAAAGTAAAGGCGACCGGCGTGATGCTGACCACATCACCCATCTTGTGCCGATTGGTCTATAAAAATAAAGGTCTAGCCCTATATGCCCTAAACGCATAAAGTCGTGGAAAAGGGTCCTTTACTTTTTTTTTTTAAAACTGGCAATTTAGTGTCCGGATATCCATATGTTGTTTGATAGTGTTTTGTCTTGACACAACTGAAAACAGTCTCCGCACCAAGCTGGCAAGGCTGTTTTGTTTTCATTACCGTTAGGAGGCGGTCACTGCAGCTTTCCGCTGGCTAGAGAACACGACACACACACATCATGATTGTAACTGATTCAGAAAGCATGCTGAGGAAGGTCAGGACAGGTATGCTTCGTGCAGAGTGGCATGCTTCACTGCGGGGTGCACGGGTGAGGAGTATTGTCCGGATTATTTTCACCGACGGATGCTCAATAGCTATGACAACTTGGTTTTTGCATGATAAGGCAGACGTGGTTGGTGCCTTGTTCATTACAGTTCAGGATCAGAATGGACTGGCACCATTAGTATCGGAACTCTTCGCTGGCTGCTGAAGATGGGGACGGGGCGCTTATGGGAAAGCCTCGAGTTTAGAGCTGAAAATCCGAAGTATTTCAAGAACACATACATTCAGTTTTACAACAGTTTGACGCACCCACTCTCTCTCTACCTTGAAACTTCATCGCGACTCTGGGCTCGAGACCAAAGGCCTAGACAGTGTTGATGAGACCACGTGTTGCTCAAGCAACTTTGATTCCTCCATCGGTCTGCCTTGTTAATTCCAAAGGAAAGGTAGCATCGATAAGTCTAGAACAGACCATGTTGCAGAAACTATCAGATTAAAAGCGCGGCGCACTGGCTTTCCTCCTATAACAGCTGCCAGCTATTACAAATATGTCTACGTATAAGGGCCGCGTTAGCGCAGTCGATAGGAGACTAGCTTTCAAATCCAGTTGCGACTTGCTGCAGCCCACTGCCGGTTTTCGTAACCGGGCGGTTCCCGTGGTTCACCCAGTCTCTAGGTAATGGGTACTAGAGTACCCACTCTGGGGTAAATGGAGGAACGTCGCTGTAGCTACGGAGTTGCGTGCAGACGGCGACACAGGCGGACAGTTTCTTATCAGCTGTCCGTACTGGTGGCAGAGCACTTATGGTTTATAACCGTGTGCAATAATGCTGGTTCACATCTCCCGACTTTACCTTTACCCTTATCTTATGTCATATGCCCAGCGAGCTACTTGCGTAAGTCGTTTTCCTTTGCTTATAGTTCAGATAGCGGTGGCAAACTACTAAATATTAAAATTGCCTTGTAATACCACAAATAGAAATGCGACTGTTTTTAACGCTTTGTTTAGGATATGACAACTAACCTATTTAAACTTCTTTACCAAAAGTAGGTCAAGGCAAAACAAGGCGAAGCTACAGCGTTCTTGCCTTACGCTAGATAGATATGATATGATTGGTAAACCACGATGTGGGTTCCCAGGGCTCAGTTCTTTTGGTGGGGGGGGGGGCGGGTTTAGAATATATCTACTGGCTACCGCAACAAGCTTGTCGTAAGGGTCGTCTAACAGGGGTGATTCCTTCGAAGTCGGAGAACGTCTACCTGAGTGGTAGAGAACGAGCAATCTATATAGAAATAAGTCAGTTATGCACGCATCACTCAAGTTCTGGAGCAAGGCTAAAGACCAGAGGTGGACGAACAACCAGAACTTTCTGCCGGAGTTTAAAAGAAGATGTAAAAGGCGACGGATTAAGAACTCGCTGAAATTGCATGTTTGAGGTCGATCCTAAAATGGGCACCAGGTAATGTCCTGGGAAGTAAAGGGACCGACACGTGATGTTGATTACACCACCAACAGAGCTCCAGTTGGTCTATAAATATAGACGTATTTAATCATATGCCCTAAACGTCAACATTATCAGCTCAAGTGCTTTGTCGACTGGCAAAAGTTTTCTCTCTCTCTCAGCCTACCTAATGCCGCCACCCTTCAATACAGCTCCTTTATGTTGTGGCGACCGAAAACAATGATTTTCCTCCAAAACTTCAATCAATGTTTGTTTTCCGATGGTCTTAGGCAACCCCTGTGTTCACTGGTTTCGATCAAAAAAAGGGTCGCGACCTGCAAGTCGAGAACCGCTTCTCAAGAGTAAAGAGTAACTAACTAAGTAACTAGCTAACTTGTCCGAAAATAAAACCTCTGACTTTTATTCCGTAAAGACTAACCAACTAAGTAACTAGCTAACTTGTCCGAAAATAACACCTCTGACTTTTATTATACTTTAACGGACTATTCTTTTCTTTGATTTGTGTGTGTGTGATTTTTCAGTAACCAGAAGCCATGAGTTGTTAACACTTAGGCTCGATTATGGATATAGCAGCCTTTCGGCCTTGATTCCATTGTAAATACTTCAGGTGGGCACACTCTCTGAAAATGTCTAGGAGTTCGTGGGCCGAAACATTTGTCGACGAGAGATTACTTCTACTGATTATTGGTAGACTCCTGCTGTACATGCTCCCCTGTGGAGTTTCTTCTATACCGTAAATCTGGGTGAAATGTGCCTTTTCTGCCTACCCCCGGGAGTAAACCCGGACCACAAGGAGTTCGTCACCCGGTCACCGCACAATCCGGTTTAGCCAACTACGCCAGAGAGCCGGCCTTTTTTTTTTGATAAAACCATTGCGTCTGTCTTCCCATTGTTCAAGCTGAGACCTATTTCATCATTGTACATCTTAGATGTGAAAATTATTCTTTATATTGTTTCGAATTCTCTCAGGTTGCTGTTTTTTGCCCGCACCCGACGTCTGCTTGAACTGGACAGGCCGCCATCATGGCTGGACAATGCAGATCGCTATCGAAAATCAGCTCGCCGGCTGTTGTCGTCGCCCTCGCCATGATGATGATGATGATGTTTTGTGGATGCGAAGGATTTACCACGGAGCGTCGACCCAACCCCCGATCCTGCGGGGAAGCGCAGATGTGTTGCCAGGGTCAGAACAACACGTGCTTCGTGTTCGGCCAAAGGGTGGATCGATCTGAGGACTCCAAGAGATGTTACTGTGACAGTAACTGTCTGATCATGGGTGACTGCTGCATGGATTACCATCACGTCTGCAAAAGTGAGTACCTTTTTTTAAATGTCTCTCTTATCTTCTTCTTTCTTCATCATCATCATCTTCTTCTTCTTCTTCTTCTTCTTCTTCTTCTTCTTCTTCTTCTTCTTCTTCTTCTTCTTCTTCTTCTTCTTCTTCTTCTTCTTCTTCTTCTTCTTCTTCTTCTTCTGCGTTCATCCGAAGATGTAATTGCGTTGTGTCCGTTTACAGCATGGCTGCGATATTTGCACCTTTTGGCCAACAAATCCGACTTCTGCGGGCATTTGTTGACCGGGTTAGCCTTCTCGGCTCTTATCATTTTATCTTGGTCCTCTTACGTCTTGCGTCGAGGTGAAAAAGTATAATCGGTTCTTTAATAATATCCGACTTCAGATGACGTAATAGGACATTTCAACATTTTAGAGGGTGGTAAGACTGGGTTTCCCAGCTTTCTGATGCTTTTAACTACCCTAACACATCTAGAACTGGCCCTAACCCCAACCCACCTTTGTCCCACGAGAAGGTGCAGCCTAGGTCCCACAAATACATACAGCCTAGGTCCCACGACTGCATGCAGCCTATCCACCACTCCCTGAAAAATTAGACAGTCCCGTGACATGTGGATTTCCCCTGTTTGGGATAGGATATTAATAAAGCACCGTATAATCTTTTTCGAGCATTCAACTTCACAGCAATCAGGTTTCCCCATACTTGCTCCATTCCCGTGTCAGTGCAAATCAAATGAAATGTCCCTCACTGTCGCATTTGAAAAACTGGTGAACAAACAATTAGTCTCGGAAAATTCAGAAATATGCGCGAACAGTAAATGCATGTGACAGTTGCTAGAGGCGCCAAAGCCAACAGTCGCCACCAGAAATACAGTTTATCGTTGATGGAAGTATTAGGGCAGGATAAGTTGGCTATACACACGTAAAATTATTACACAAGGTATTTCACCATATCACACGTAAACCGCCCACCGGCCATATTCTTCTTCTTCTTTGCGTTCATATACGCTATATATACTTGTGTGTGTGTGTGTAGGGGGTGGGGTGGGAGGGGGGATAGGTGTCTGTCTGTCTATAACTTGCTTACATTATATTTGATGAGATTTGAAATTCGTTGTCCTAATCATTGCTACACTATTTTGCCGTTCACTTTATTATAAAGCTGTTGTGGTAGTTTCCAGTTGGTGCAGTCCTGGGCTAGTAACTTTGATCTCCTCGTGCATTTATTGTTAAAGTCTTGACAGAAGAGCGATTTTTTCACAATCTTAATATTGTTAAGCAGAGATCAAATTCGGTCAGCTGCTGCAGAGGAGTGAGGTAATGCCAGCAGACTAAGCATGCATGCCCCCCCCCCTCCCCCCCCCCCCCGTATAATTGGTTGATCTTGCACTGTTATTTCCCTCCATTCTGTATTTATTTATTTATTTTTGGTTCATAAAATTCCTCTTTAACAAGGCTGGGAAATCTCATGATCAGCAGCATAACTGAGATCGGTCTTCCAGCCTAGCATGCCAGCATTTAGAATATTGATTAGAAATGTATGAAAACTACTCAAATATCGGCCGTGGTACCAGAGATACAGTTTTTGCTTTAGAAGGGTCAGATAGTACCACATGTGTAGGAAAGTACAAACTTCGACAGCCCTGCTCTAGACAAAATACTGTGGCCTACTATCGTTGTGTCAGTGTCTGTGGCTAGGGCGTTGCGAACGTGCTTCATAATTCCGGGGTGCCGGGTTCGATTCTAGCTGCGTGGCCTTGCATCTTGCGTTGGTTTCGACAGTGATATTGAGAAGCTTGCCGTCCAGAAAGCAATGGCAAACTACTGGACGTAAATTTGTCTACAAAAAACCACAACAGCCTAAAAAATGCTGGGGTTGGTTCTGCAACGTCGTGTAAAGGATACGCAACTAACTAACTATCGTTGTTCTATTACAGTGGTATGTAACGTTTTTTTTTTCAAGACCGCGCTCCTCTTGAGTATATTGCAAGATCCCGACCCCCACCCCCTCACTAACTTAATAAAGTATGACTAAAAAATGGGTAAAATAGATTCCGCAACAAGAGAAACATAAAGTATGGAGATATTTTTTGGTCAGAATGTGTTTTAATCTATAATTAAATGCATGTCATTATATTAATTAGATTTTCGACAGTATATGTACACACTCCTCATGCAACAAAAGCATCGCTGTCGTTTCGTTTAATCAATAGTTTAATTTTGTTGTTGTTGTTGTAACTAAACTAAAACAAAATGTAAGTAGATTATTACAAATACAGTGCACTCAGTTTCAGAAATACTTGACGCCCCCCCCCCCCCCCCTTTTGAAACGTCCTTGCCCCCACCCCTCTTGCAAGGTTGAAGACCATTGTTTTGTTCTAATCAGAGTAGGCGCTGGAGCTTGGGAACCTCACTCCTTGCACGTTTTCTAAGCCGGTTGTGGGGGGTGGGGGGGGGGGGGGGGGGGGTGTTCATAGGGCTTGAGCCGGGAGGTTTAGGCGCTTTTGGTTTTTGAAACCATATCTCTGCAGCTTTCACGTCAGTCGGTGAATCTTTCAGGACTTGCATGGGTCTCCAGTAAAGTGGAACTATAGTGGATATGTAATTGCCCCCCTCTCTCTCTCTCTCGCTCTGTCTATCTTTCTCAGTTGCTGTCAATGTCTCTTTACCCACTGTGTAGCTGGCTCTCTCTCTCTCTCTCTCTCTCTCTCTCGCTCTATCTCTCTCAGTTGCTGTCAATGTCTCTTTACCCACTGTGTAGCTGGCTCTCTCTCTCTCTCTCTCTCTCTCTCTCTCGCTCTATCTCTCTCAGTTGCTGTCAATGTCTCTTTACCCACTGTGTAGCTGGCTCTCTCTCTCTATCTCTCTCTCTCTCTCTCTATCTCTCTCAGTTGCTGTCAATGTCTCTTTACCCTCTGTGTAGCTGGCTCTCTCTCTCTTCTCTTCTCTCTCTCTCTCTCGCTCTGTCTATCTTTCTCAGTTGGTGCCAATGTCTCTTTACCCACTGTGTAGCTGGCTCTCTCTCTCTCTCCCTCTGTCTCTCTCTCGCTCTGTCTGTCTTTCTCAGTTGCTGTCAATGTCTGTTTACACACTGTGAAGCTGGCTCTCTCTCTCTCTTCTCTTCTCTCTCTCTCTCTCTCTCGCTCTGTCTATCTTTCTCAGTTGGTGCCAATGTCTCTTTACCCACTGTGTAGCTGGCTCTCTCTCTCTCTCTCCTCTGTCTCTCTCTCTCGCTCTGTCTCTCTCTCAGTTGCTGTCAATGTCTATCTTTACACACTGTGAAGCTGGCTCTCTCTCTCTCTCTCTCTCTCTCTCTCTCTCTCTCTCTCTCTCTGTCTCGTTATGTCTATCTTTCTCAGTTGCTGTCAATGTCTCTTTACCCTCAGTGTAGCTGGCTCTCTCTCTCTCTCTCTCTCTCTCTCTCTCTCTCTCTCTCTCTCTGTCGCTCTTTCTCTTGCCGTCGTGCTCTTTCCCTTTCAGTCGCTCTCCATCTCTGACGCTCTATCTTTCTCTTTTCCTCTTCCTATCTCTGTCGCTCTCTCTCTCTCTCTCTCTCTCTCTCTCTCTCTCTCTCTCTCTCTCTCTCTCTCATTTCTGTCTCTGCATGATTCGCTTCCGTACACCAAGATCGGTTTTATATATTCCATATTCTCTTATAGCGCCATCTTTCCTGTACCGTCGACTTCGCCTGCCCGGAGAAACCAGCATCTAAAAATCACCCTAGCCACGCCCCCTTTTATCACCGACGTCTGAATCGTGCGGTGTTCACAAATATTTGTCTCCATGTTTTTGTTGCCCTGTAAATATCGAAGTGTTTGATCACTTGTTTACATCTTTCCGGAAATCTGCACCTTTGTATGTCTGAGAGCCTCACGGGGACTCTCAGGGATCATTCGAAACATAAAAATGAAAAAGGTACTTTACTTTGGTTCACCCCATCTCTGGGAATTCCAGAATTTCCGGGGAGGTCCAGTATTATGGGAGGGTTTGTATTGGTCGGTGTTCATTTGTCATTGTAACACCTCTCTAAAATTGGACTTCCCCATGAGCTCTCGCATTCCCCGAGATGGGGTGAACAAGATTGAAAGGCCTTCAGCCGTATGGGGCGTATAGGGCCGGACCTATATTTTATACACAAATCAATATAATTAGCGTCAACCGGCCGCCTTTTTTCCCCATAACTTTACCTTGCACCTACTCAAGGCTGGGTCCATCTAGGAGCCTAGGCCATTTTATTTTTGTTTAAAAAAGTCCGGCTACGTTTGAAAACCCACGATCTTCGGATCTACGAGTGAGCGTCCAGCCACTACACCACGGCGGCTCATTATGGAAGTAAAGAAGTTTAGTTATCTAGCCTACCGTGTGTGTCGTCGAAGGCGACTGAGGAAGGTTGGCGTGAGATGGCTATCGTAGAAAAACCAGCCTGCGAAATCCCACCATAAATCTTCTTCTTCTTTGCGTTCACCAGCTGTAAACTCTGGTGGAACGAAAGTTCTGGTTGTTCGTCCACTTCTGAACTGCAGCCCTGTTCCAGAACCTGAGTTTTGCGTGTGCATCCGTTTGACAGATCTGACACATCTGTGTGTTGACTGTTGGTTCCTTGCCTCTCAGGCAGATGCACTCCGACTAGGAAGAAAGCTCCCAATCAGTCGACTCTTACGACATGCTTTTGGGTAGGCAGTGGGTCTTTTCTTGTTTTTCCTATAATAGGGCCCCGGAACCCACACAGGGGCCACCATAAATGACTTAACAAAGAACTTTAGAGTTGGCTGGAGGCCTGTGCTCTATTAAAAGTTGGAAAATAGTGGTAGTGGTGGTAGTAGTAGTAGCAACAGTATTAGTAATAGCAACAGTATTAGTAGTAGCAACAGTATTAGTAGTAGCAACAGTAGTAGGAGTAGCAACAGTATTAGTCGTAGGAGTAATATTATTAGTGGTAGAAGCAACAGTTTTACTAGTAGTAGTAGTAATAGTAGTAGCAGCAGCAGCAGCAGTAGTACTAGTTGTAATTGTAGTTAG